AAATTTCTTTTTGCATCTTTGTCTGCAGGTTTTCGTAGGCCACAGCAGAGGCATGACACTGATGATAATGAACTTTTGCAGCCAGTATATGTATGTCATGAAAGTGTCCTGGCTTTTTACTTCACAGAAAGATGGGTGCCATGAATGCTCTCGTAAGTGGTAATGATAAATAATACCTTTGTTGGTGCTTTCAGTAAAAGAAATACATGGCATAAATCACTAATCACTTATGCTGCTGTAAAATTCCATTAAGACCATTTGCACTACATGTTATCATCCTTTAAAAGAATTGTTGCTCTGTTTTATTTTTCATATTAAAGCATATCCTAAATCGCAGTTACTTGGCCCTTTCAGTATTGTGCAGTTCTCATTATTTGTGGACATTTCATAGGAAATCGCAGCTACTATATTAAACGATGTTATTGTTTCAATTGATGCTTTCAGCCTCTGAAGTTGGGGTTTCCATGTGGAAATCATGGCATAGATCACGTTGGGAACATAAGATGTTTCATTGTGATTTGGTTCTGCTTTCATTTCATTTCATTCCTAGATGGCTTGCTCGATGATCCGAAAAGTGAGTTGTGTATGCATTTACTTTCGTTGTTTTTCTACATTGAATGGGATAATAAGTGACTTTCTACTACATGAGTTGTTGATTTCTGCTACTGGTTTGCAGATCAACTTTGATGGAAATTGGTTATATTTGTGTAAGTAATTTGAACGTTTATCTTAGTTCTATACTTCTTTTTCAATTCCAGTTGAAGTAGGCAGTCAAGTTGCAGGACAACTCAGGGGAGATCAGGTTAGGAATAAGTGAGAGTGGGACAGTTTTATGTATTTTTGTCTGCCTTACCTTGATGTGTGTTTGTTTTCTTAACTTAATCAGCTTTCCAATGACAGCAGCTGAAATTTTAGTGATGCATCTTCCACAAGAAACAGCTTTTATATAGTATTAGAGTGTGATGCAGTGATGAACTTAGTTCAATACTTGTAAGGTAGGCATTATGAGAAGATTAAACTTCTTTTGGTCAGTACGTTTCATCTAACCTTTAGCCTCGTTGGTGTTTCTTCTCCTGCAGCTGAAGAAACAAGAGAAGCAAGATTGTTGAAGACTCAAAAAGCCGAAGAAAAGGATACCATTGGTCCAGCCACTTAGAAAGCTTAGTATATTATATATATCTTGTATTAAGACTCCAAATTGCTTTGCATTCTATTTTGTTAAAGCTCATGCACATAAACATGTTGTAATTCTCCACAATTATATACTCATTAGTAAGTATCTTTAAATGAGATTTGAAATTTTTAATGGTGAATTTTTAACAGTAGCAATTGGCATGGTATGTTCTTGATCGCATCCTTCCATGAAAATCAGTAAGCAGAGAGAGAAGTTGGGTTGCTTTTATTGTCAATAACGATGGGAATTAACATACTTGATTATGTATTAGTGAGGGTAATTCCGTCGGCAATGTTTATGAATCTTGTTGATAAAAATTCATATATAACGACCGGAAGTGACTACCCTCGTTAAATGTTTTAACGACCGTATAGTGTTTTCCCGTCGGTATTGACTTTTACCAGCGAAGCCTATAATGAGGGGCCCTATACTGTCGTCAATGACTTTTCCCGACCGCTTTTTGACAATTAACGACCGTTTTTGCCCCTCGTTAAAGCCTCTTTTTTTTTTAGTGGTTTAAACCCGCTACACTATTCACCGGGTCGGGTTTGGGTTTAGGTAAACCCGCCCCATGGGTACCCGCCCACACACATATAATTACCTTCCCGGTATATTTAATATTCTAAATAATATATCTTTCTTAAACGACTAATATTCTATATGTTTGTGGAGACATGTATAATTTGTTCTTTCTAATTGTTTAGAATGAAATTGATATTATGAAGTGGAGAGTGAAGAAAATTAGTTGACGAGAAAGAGGCTTTCAATTAATCTTATTGTTTATATATGTTTATCTTTAATTTTGAACAATTTGTATTGATCATTTGCGGTTTGTTTGTATGCTCTAGATTGGTGTTTTTTGTATGATTAATTTGTATGAGAAAATTGATGTTAAACTTTTATTTTTAAAGAAACTTGTTATTGTAAATTTTTACCACAAAAACCCACGGGTACCCATGAACCCGCGGATACCCAGCGGGTTTGGTTGGGTTTGAGTTTTTCAAACCCAACGGGTTTTACCCCGGGTTTTTTTGGCGGATAAACCCATGGGTTTGGGTTTGACAAAACCCGCCCCAATCCGACCCATTGCCATCCCTACCAGCGACGGCTGGTTGGTCCTCCTTCCGCCCCGGTGACCGAAGAGAAGTTAGCGGCAAGTTAGGATTTATTTTGAATTCATTAGGTGAAAATAAAAATTATTTTATTTTTTATTATTATTTTAATTGCCTCGTCACTCATTTAACGGTCAATGATAAGAGTTGACCGCCACATCTGCAAACGTTAACGGAGACTAACAACCAGTGACCAAACTTGAACTGTTAACTTAATTTAAGTAACTACGGATGAAATAAATTAATTTTAGTGGTAAACGTGAAATTTTTAAGTAATTTTAGTTACCAAACTTGCAATTTATATATGCTTATGCTTTTATTACTACTATTTGAAAAATTAACTAAGATGCAAACTGACTTCAAAATATGTTGTTAATGAAACCCTTCCTGGAGATCGGATCCATATACTCAATGTGTCTGTGATATTAAAATAAACGTTTTTAATGAAAGAAAGAATCTCTTTTTGTAAAAAAAAATAATAATAATAAAGGACATTTATCTTGGGGTGTCAATGTTTTAATTTTCATAATCATAAGGGACCCAGGAATTAATTCTGGAGAATATAAGTAGTAAAGTGGAACTTGTTTCACGTGGCTAATATAATACTGTTATTTAATTTGTATCATCAGAGATCTGGGTGCTGACTGCTGAGTGCTGACTTTAAAGATTAGATTTAAAATTTAATAGTTTTACTGCTCTAATGATTATTTTTTATATGTGCATGATTTGCTGATTCGTCATTTTCTTTTGGACAATTAATCATTACTCTCAATTTTGGTGATAGTTAAATTAATGTATTTTCATCAATGCATGTATAATAATATACATGTATATAAGAAAATTGGTGTATTGTAGTTTACATCGTTTGGTTTCTGTGATAGTTATTGTAGTATTTTAAATAAATTAGATCACTTTTTGGGTGAAATGTCACTTTTATCTTTTGTTTTTTAATATAAAAAAGCAACACACATAAAAATGTAGGGACATATTTGGAAGAAGAAAAAAACACAACAATCTCCATCAAACAATCTCAACAATCTCAACGAAAACTTGAGATTTAACTATCACTCAAACAATGCATTGTTTGCGAAGAAAATTAAAAAAAAAAAACAATGCATTGTGGACATTGCATGCATTTAACTATCCCAACCAAACTATCACCAAAACCAAACGACCCTGTAGTTAGATAAACTTTGACAAATAAGATTGATTGATTATTAATTTTGATTAAATTCATCATATTATTTGAGTATAGATAATTATCATCAGTTTCACCAAAAAAAAGATAATTATCATCAGAGATTCACCCATTACAAATTAGCAGCGGTAGGACAATAAGAATTTAAAGATAGGATTTGTATATTGTCAAGAACCAGTTGATCCCAATAACTCAAGTTGTTGGGAGAAGGTTCTGCTGGATCTTATACCACACTCTTACACGCCCCCTCAAACGAAAGCTAATCCATGGGCTTGAAGTTTGCACAATCCCACCATACCTTGTGCTTTAATCAAAGGTTAATATTGGGCGTCGTTGAGATTCGAACACACGATCACTTGGCCAAACCAGGCTCTGATACCATGTCAAGAACCAGTTGATCCCAATAACTCAAGTTGTTGGGAGAAGGTTCTGCTGGATCTTATACCACACTCTTACATATATGAAGCACGAATCTGCTGGGTTGCTAGCTCGGACGTCCTTTATCCAGATTGTTTTCACACCTGCAAAACAAGCAAGATCCAGAATTTGTAAATGTTATCAAATTTTCCCCTCCGACATTCAATAATGTGAGGAAGTTAGATTGTAAAATAGACTCTGGTATGATGGGAAAATGTCTTAATTATTGATCAGATACCATTTACTAACATATGTACTCAAACAAAAGCTTATTCATATGGATTGAAGTTTGAACAAAAGACCTCTTGTTCATAAAAGGTTCTGATACCACATGTCATAAACCAGTTAGTTCCAATAACTCAAATTGTTAAAAGATGTTCAATTATGAATACATACCATTTACTAATAGAAGTAGGATTGTACGAGTTTTATAGGTGGAAGATGCTCAAACAACTAGTTGAGCCATGCAACGGCCAACGATCGAGAGGCACTTACGACTTCACGACAATCATAACCATTCTTAGTAAATATTTCATTTCATACGCGCATATATGAACGTATGTATTTTATATGTTTAAATTTTTTGTTTTCATACTATTGCCATATCACTTCTTTTTCCTGTGATTGACTTTTGTGCTAAACACATTTACTCTTATAACACGTTTAATACTCAGTATTCAATTATGACTATTGATATACTATTAGACAAAATAATAATTTAGAGACAATATATAATATCCATACATATTTTATATACCCTACCGTGTGTTTACAAAGTATGATTGTAAGTGTGTTAAGCTCTAGTAAGGCTGCTTATGACGAGGAACATTACATGCAACTTCACACCTTGATCCAAATCCTATAAACTATTTGGCCATTTGGTTATGAATTATGAGGTCGTTTTTGGTAGGCGCACAAGTAAAATATCCCTATCTGTTTCGGCCCACGATGTTTCTAATTTTATAATTTTAGTCCCCTCCGCGCGCGCCTATCAATCAGATGGTGAGATTTTCCTGAATCGCAATAAACGACCCCAAAATATTGCCACCGACGTCCGGGAAAGCAACGCAAACAGGTACGGATAGCCCTCATTTTACCGGTGGGATCCACTTCCACCGGATACTTCAAGTTCAACAAATGACCCTTCATCACCGTCACCGTCTCCGCCGCAAACTGCCGCCAGTGGCGCTCCGACGTGCTTCGCCCACAGCGAATTCCGGTACCCGTAGATCTGGCCGTGGGGGCGGTTTCTGCCGTCAAGGTGTGACGTGGCTGGTAAGATCGCGAATGCCTGGGTAAATGGTTAGTGATGGCAATAGGGCGGGGCGGGTACCTCAATTCTCATGTCCCGCCCCACGTGACTACGGGTCGGGGCGGGTAAAACCCGCGCGGGTACGGGGCGGGTCGACCCACTCTTACATGTTGTTCAAAAAAAATAAAAGTAAATTTTACTTTTTACCATAAAACGTAGGGAAAAACACTTAGAATGAAAAATATTGATAATAGAATGGATAATTGAGCCTAACAAGTTGAAAGATCGACTCTAACTAGTTGAAGAAAAGTCAAAATAGGAGAAATATGTATAGATATTGTAAGAAATTGAGATAAAATGAGTCTAGAACAGGGCGGGGCAGGGCGAGTCGGAAGTATATACCCATGCCCCGCCCCACGCTACTGCGGGTCGGGTAATACCCGCCCCATCGCGGGTCAGGTCAGGTAATACCCGCGGGGCGGGTTGAAATTGCCATCACTAAAATGGTCTCAAGACAGACATGACAGTTGGTTCATCTTTGATTGCAACTTGCCAGTTGTGTTTATTTGTGGATGAGCGCTTCTACTATGCTATATAGTATTGATGTTTTAATGTACAACTCAAAGTTAAGTTTAGGTTGTCCCATAAAGCAATTTGTACCATTATGTTATGGTACAACTTTACAACTAGAAGTTCTACCATCACATAAAGTAGGGGTGGGCAAACGGTTCGGTAAACCCGAACCGAAACCGAAATAATGCTATTCGGTTCGAAATTCGAAAGGAAAATATCAATATTTCGGAAATCAGGGTTCTTTCAACCGAACAGAAATTCCGAAATTCCGACCGAAAAAACCGAAATACTATAATTGCAACCTCCAAATGGTGGATTTTTGTGTTTGTAGTTGTTTTTATACTTAAATATATGAAATATTTTATGGTTTATGTGTTTAAAGTTTGATTATCATTGATTATGCATATAATTGCATATTTATTGGTTATATTAGGGGTGAAAATAATTTAAAAGTGAGAAGATACAAACAAGTAACCTCACAAATTCGATTTTATGTGAAAAACCGAACCGAACCGAATTATATTTCTGTTTAAACCGACCGAACCAAATTATAATTCTGTTCAAATTCGGTTTGGGGTTTGGGAGAATTCGGGGACCCGGTATTCATAATTTCAGTTCAGTCGAAACTCGAAATCGAACCGACCGAATGCCCACCCCTAACATAAAAGTACAAGTTCAAGTTGTACCATAAAAAAAATGGGCTAATACCACTGGGAAACCCGAACTATTAACTTTGTGCCATTTGTGTCCTAAAGTATTCGATACGACATCTGTGTCCTGACGTATGATAGTTGTGTGTCATTTACGTCATGACAATTTTGTTGACCGTTATAGATAACGGTTGACCAAACAGTCAACCATAAAATGTTGACTTTTGGTTACATGGCACATATGTGGCAGCCACATATGCGCCACGTCAGCTGCCACATAAGATTGTTATTTTTAAATAAAAAATAAAAAATAATCCCTTCTTCTTCATCTTCTTCGTACGGTCCTCCACCAGCAAGACGAGCGAGTCCTCCAGCGGCTCGCCGGCGACGAAAATGATGTCCTCGTTCCAGTGAAACGACGCGCTGTGGTTGTTCATCGAGCCGCGCCGGGATCTGACCGATTGGAAACCTAATTGGCCTTTAATTTGGATCTCGTCGTAGTAACAGACCCGCAACCCGATCTCGCCGCGGATCCAGCTGAAGACGCTCTTCTTCTCGAGCGCGAAGTAGACGAGCCCCTCGTCGTCGCGCCTGGCGAACTGAGAGCCGTAGAGCTTCACCTGGCCGAGGAAGTGGTTCTTGCGGCCGCTGCCGTTGCCGAAGTGCTTGTCGTTGAAGACCTCGATGTCGAGCCTCTCGTGGTCCATGTTGTTCGGATCGGAGACGAGGAACTCGAGCGACTCGTTCCATACCAGGTTGAGGTCGCGGTACTTGGTGGAGGTGCGCTTCCGCTGGCCGTCGAAGTCGGCGATGACGTAAGGGCTGGAGCTGCGTGGTCATGGTTTCATCGTTTTGTGTTGGTGGCCGGAGCAGAGGAGAGGAAAGGTGAAAAGTAAAGGTAATTTGGGAAAGTGAATTTGGGAAAGTGAAGCTTCGTTAGATCCGCCATGAAAGTGGAGCTTGGAGACGAATTGGGGAGAGGAGTACAGGGAGCGGAAAAGCCAATTTGGGAAAGTGAACGAATTTTCCACTTTTTGTTTATTTTTTCTTTTAATTTCCATTTTTTGTTATTTTTCCTTTTAATTTCCATGTTAGATGCCACATCGGCGCTGATTATATTTTCTGTTTAAAACTAACGGTCAACGCCAGTCAACCATAACGGAAAAATAGTTTGGGACACAAATGTCGTATCGAATACTTTAGGACACAAATGACACAAAGTTAATAGTTCGGGTTTCCTATTGGTATTAGCCCTAAAAAAATTTGTAAAAAAGTATAGGTACAATCTAAAGTTGTACTATAACATAAATGTACAATTTTAAATTGTACCATAAAAAAAAAAACCTATAGCACCAATACTATATAGCATTGTAAAATTTCTCATTTGTGAGACGTTAATTACTGTTTCAAGCAACATTCACTCGGAAGAATTTTACAATGCTGATAAATAAGCACCGTTTTGCAATTGCAGTATCCACATGCCGACTGGTCAATGATCTTTCTCCCTTGAGAAAACAGAAGCACTATTCAAAACTTGCAAAAAAAGGTCCCTATTTCATGCACTATTTACTGTTGACGGTTCTTTTTTCTTCTTCGTTTTCCCATTTTTACAACTGGAGAAGGAAAGAGAGGAAAGAAAACAACAGGCGATTTCGCAGGTTATACAGTGAGGATACAACTGAGAGGGCCAAGAGTACAAACCATTTACAGTGTAAACAAGAACTTGAAAGATCTGCCCTCGTCGCACCAAATTCATCACATAACGGTACACGACGACTTGTCCTTCTCCTTGGCTTTCACCTCGACCCTGGATGGTGTTGCTGTTCTGGCCCCGGTTCTGGGTGCCTGCCAAAAGTGTAGTCTTTGTTTAAGTTGGCAACCAAAAGATAGGGATTACTTCCAAAGAGACGGAATAACAGAGCACTAATCTGGAGCTAAACCTAAGAGCGACTCATTTTGCTTGGATGGTCATTTACGTGAAAATGTGATATAAGACTTACCGGAGGACCAGTTATGAGTCCCGATTCACTTCCCCCCAAAGACAGTGGCTGTGAGTTGTGGCGTTGTGGCTCTTGCTGTTCAAACTCCTGTTGCTGCAGAGCGATTGCCAGTTGGAGATCAGAACTGCAACAACAAAAATGTTCCATTGGATGAGTCTGGAATGAGGTTCTAAAGGAGAAAGGGCGACAAAAAGAAGCAAGTGTGTGTATATATGAAAAAGCACAATCAACACGGCAAATGACCCAATTCAGAGCAATTACCTTATGTCACCATCCCGTGCAGCTGTATCCATGTTTGCAAGATAGTCCTGGGGCAAGCAAGCGCAGCAAATTGTAAAGAGGCATGCATAGATCGAAAGCTGGCATTATAATAGAATAAATTTGATTTCCACCCTAAGAAAGAGCAAACATACAGCAGTGCTGGCCATGGCATTCTGCTCATTCCAAGAGTCGTTAGCGTGACTTTCCACCTTGAATTCCCTGAAATTGTATGTCATAAACAATGTATCTCCATTGACCTGAATAGCAAAAGGATTGCAAGTCAGAACGCACAGAAGGATCCATAAGAATATATAGCAGAGTCGAGAAAGCATCATAAAAAGGCATTTATAATTAGCACAAAAAACCTATCTAAATAATGGTTGGTACAGATATTGGAAAGAAAGAAAATAATGTAGAAAGTAAATTGACAGGGAAGGGCACAAAAACATTCAACTGTATCTGTATGATGCTATTTTCTCACCTCTGTATAATATACTACCAAAGCAGGAACCAGAGTTTTCACAATCAGTAACTAAATAACAATTTCATAAAAAAACACGAGCATTTTCACAATCGAGAGTGTCTGGAAGAGTTAAATAATCAAATCTAGATTGAGTCCAGCTTCACGTGCAGATAAAGAAGGAGAAGGTTACCTCATTGAGCTTTTCCCACACCAAATCAGGCTGGTTCAGATAACCTTGGTCAGTAGCTAGGAGATAAAGCTCGCCTTTAAACTGCAAGTTTAATCATGTTAGTAACCAAAACAACAGGATCATATAAAGATGCTTAGCTGAAACCATTCCCAACCTTAAACATGGTGCTGAAGTGGTTATTTCGGAAAAACACACAAAGTTCACGCTCCTTTAGACCCTCTTGCAGGCAAAAAAGGCTGGAGAGAACAAGGCAGTGAAAGACAAAAATATTTTTAGCCATGGTACGGACTTCTCCAGAAGGAATTGGAAAACCATAGCACAAAAAGGAATCAACTCACCCGTAAAAGGTCAACTGGCTGGCATTGTTCTTCAAAAAGCTCCTTATTAGCTCTCCTAGCGAACCCAAAAAAAAAAAACTCATAAGTAGCTACTAAAGAACCGCTCATTGGTAGTATAAGAAGTGTCATATTTTGGCAAATCAACAAAACATTGTAAAATAACTTAAAAAAAAGTTAGTCAGCATAAACAGGATGTACTAATCAGCAAACATATTGCCCAGCACAAGGCCACAGACCTTGTTGTGGAGTGAGACCATCTTTGGATCCCACAGATTTATCAACTTGTTCAGCAAGAATAACCTCACCCTCGTACACAGGCTCCCCATCATCAAACTTCGGAGTTCCTGAATCCAATATGCATTCTTCGCCCTCGTATATGGGTTCACTACCATCAATGCTTGGGGAGTAAGGTTCAGTTACATCCTTGTTCTGCACTAACCCACTGGATGATTCTGTAGCAGGACTTGATGAAGATAAATGTGAGACCTCATCAGAGCCATGCCTACTTAGCTCTATTTGTCCATGGATGTCAAGGTTAGAACCAAATTGAGTCTCGGCCTTCTCACTGTGTGATGTATCTGCAGGGTCTTGCTTTATAGGGATATCAAATTCACCCACAGATACAGACCCGCCATCTTCTGCCACACCAGGCTTGAGATCATTCTGCTGAATCAAAACCTTACTAGAGACCTGTACATATGGCGTGCTATTGCTCAATTCAGATTCCCCATAATTTGGAGAACTAGACTGTTCAATGTGGTTAGTCTGTTCAGTCTTCAAAGACGAAGATAAGATCTCCTCACCGGGGTTTTCTACAGATATTGGCTCACAATGACCATTACTAAATGAACCATTATTAGCATCAGTTAAAGTATGCTCCTTGATAATATCTACAGGAGAACTTCCTTTGGAAAATGGAGCTTCACCTTGATCAACAGATCCAAGCTCAGTATGACCATAAGCTGTTAAAAGAGAGGCACCATCTGCAGTTTGCGGGCTAGTTTCAGACATTCTCAAAGCTCTCTGTAGCTCAGCTTCTTCTTCTCGGTCTCCTTTCTTCAACTCGCTATTCTCAATGTCTGAACGAGGAGATTCTTCAAACGATCTAGTTTTTGAAAGTGATGGAGAAGGAACACCCAGAACTGCAGTTGCAGCAGCAGCAAAATCCACAGAATCCCCTTCGGGGTTATTCTTATTTTCATCATCCTCCATCTTTTGTGTTTCAAGGGCAACAAGGTCCCCCATAAGAGTATTATACGATTTCGACCCAATGGCATCAGCTGTATCTCCATCCTGAACCATGAAGATAAAAAGGAGATTAGAACATCTACCGAGTAGATTCTAAAACCCACATTAAGACTTCTGTGAGTATCTTACTTCAGAGAACTGTCACCACAAACGTGTGGAGGAAATGCAGAACCAACACAGCCTTAATCTCAGAATATTAGAGAATAAAGAGAGCTCCCTGTTCAGTCACTATTGAAGTATGGATGACTCACTTAAATGGGGAAAAAACACCTCATACTATAGATGCAAATGAACTGCAACCAGTTAAATCTAAAAACGGGGAGAATCATACAAGAAGAAAATAGACAAGCCAGTGAAGTATTCAAGTAACGAATGAGATTACAGTCTTGGGGGGGAAAAAGCCTTCCAGATGGCAGATAGTATAGTCAGGAGAAAATTGCAGCATGACAACATGCAGACCAGCATTACTTGCAGAAAGTACGCATATGATACAATTCAGAATCAGGAGACTAGGAAATCTGAAAGTCTCATTTAAATGTGACGATTCCGCCGGGTCAAGGTTTTCTATACTTCCAAGGTATACATTTGTTCAACAGAGTAACCAGCAAAGATAAATTATGCAAGATCCAGCCATTCAAATTTCTTAACTACCAGCAAAGGTGATTCGGTAGCAAATAAAACACTAATCAAAGATTCGATATATTTGATCGATACAACAAAAAAAGTAAAATGAAAAACAAATCTCTATGATTGAGTTGCAACTGAAAAGAGGTTTTGGGAAATGAAACATACCTGAGGATCAACAATCCAACCATGATATAAAGGAATGTCAAGCAGATCAAATATGGCACATTCTCGGGTGAACTCAAAATCATCTATCCTGCACAAGTACCCCAGTCAGCCAAAGGAAAACTAACAATGCCCCTGCCCCCTTCTCTCTTTCCTCTCACACAAGGAGAAAACAGCTAACATGGCAGATTGAAAGAAGACACTAACCTCCTAAATTTTAAATTTACATCAATTCCAGTGGCAAGTCTTGGAAGCAAATCTATTGCATCTGCAATATTCTGTTGTTGATTCTCCACAAAACCTGCATCTTTATTCTGCAAGTAAATGGAACAGTCAAATGCTGAGGTGAGTATTAGATAACAAAGCCGACAAGAACACATTGTGTTAACAATTACATCTATGTTACTGTTGGAATCAATAAGCCGTTCAGCAACAAGTGAAAGCAATTTCTCTTGTGAGACGTCAGTAACATCCGGGCTCAAACTTATGATGTTCCTTAACAGCAGAACATTACCTACAGCCAAAAAATGGGAAAATATTTAGTTACAAAGAAAGAGAGAAGTACCAAAGAGATATGCACAAATGAAAACAGTTAACCAAGCAGAATCATATTTAGGAAATGAAGTCACATCATTCAATGACAAGATGAATGTGCTCCAAACATAATCCAGGACTGAAAGTCACATCATTGAATGTCAAAATTTCAAACTGAAAAGCAAACCGGTTTGGAAATGGGATGAGATGGTGTTGGATCATTGTCGTAAACACTTATTCCCAACAAACAGCTTTTTCATCTGAGAGAGGAAACACCAAACTAACTGCATTTAGGCCCTTTATTATCTAACCATACAGAAACGGCCTGCCACTACTATGTCTAACACCAGAGTCATCTCATCACCTGGTGCCCAATAACAACTTCAGTAGCATTATGTTCAATAACTCATTTCAGTGCTGCACAGGGGAATTGAAAATGCTGCAGTAGTGTTGTGAAGCATCACAATCTAGGTTAAAAGAACAACCCCCAGGGGCCACTGCTGATCACTTACCAACGTCCACTTGTTGGCACTTATAGAATTAACCATGATACTGCCTATTCTCTACAGATTAAAGCTATAGATAGAATCATAAAGTTGTGATTTTGTACAAAATTGTACAAGAAGAGTCCAAGTTAGATTAGTCCATCACCGATTTGTATGAGCCAATGGTGATACTTACAGATACCAAACGGAGAAGCTTTGGCAATCTAGCATTTAGAAACTCGACCTTGATTACCTTCATCAACTAGAACTCCTACTAGCCATGGGATTGTTCCTCGAAAATTCTCAATTCGAAAAAAGAAAAGTGCAGTTCTGAACTTAGTCTAAGAAATAAGAACCCCAGCAGTTAACCTAGAAATTCCGCACACACAAATTCGCAACTACTCACTCATCTCCTATCAAGAAAACCTAATTGCTCCCTCGTCCACTCCCCCTCGGGAACCAATCAAAGTGAGCAAGAAAATGTGAAAACCCTAACGGAGACAGACAGAGGTGTGAGTGAGGGAAAGATTACAGATGCCAAGGAGAGGACAAGGTCCATTGTCGTTTTGGAGGACGATTGAGGTGGTGCGTCCCAAGAACTGTACGGTTTTGGTCTTGTACAGACACTCTTTTTCTTCAGCTGCCGCTTGATTCTGTTGTTGCTGAGATAGGTCTTGCTGTTGATCGTCGTCGGCGACGGCGATGGTGGAGGTGACAGGCGACGAAGAAGGAGGAGAGGAAGAAGCTTGGGGAGGGGAGGGAGAAGGATCGGGAGGAGAAGAGGAAAGCGGGGTAGCCATTTCCACCTGGTGCAAAATTGATAATTTGGGGAAAAAGGATTTTGGATTTAAAGAAGAAAAAAAAGGTTTATTTTTCGACTGTTTTGATCGCTGAAACGTCTCGTTTTCGGTTTAGAGGGAGAGAGAGCGAACAGAAAAAAGCACGAGGAGGGACAGGGACGCGAGAGAGCGCGAAATAAGAAGAAGAAACAAAAGAAAATTGCTTTTTGTTTCGCGTTATTTCTTTTAATTTCTAGGCTTATATGGCGGTTAATTAATTAATTCTACATATGGCGGTGATTACGACGACTTTTGTCTGCTTTTCTTATTCATTTTTATTTTTGAAGGTTGCTTTGTTTCCTTCTTCTATGATGGATAAATTCCAACTACTCTTAATCAAGGTTGTTAAACCCCTATTGAACTCCCGGTTGGACCCGATCTAATCCGAGTCGAGCTTTAAAACGACCTTCACAAAGTCTCCGGTCTGATCCCTAAAAGAGGGAGAAGAAGAAAGGGGGAAGAGAGGAACGGACGAAGGGAGATGGTGGGTGGATCATGTAAGTTAGGTAAATTTATTTTGTGGAAAATAAATTTTTAATAAATATATATAAGATAAATTTTATTTCAGTAATTAAATCTTTAATTACTACCTTATTTGTACATATATTTAGAAAATGTCTAACATGGCTCAAACCGGTCGAACCCCGATCAGACCATTAAACCTCAACCCCTTCCTTAACCGGCTCAATAACTTAAACCGGTTTGACAACCTTGCTCTTAACCCTGACCATTTGAATTAGGGTTGTTTCGTTTAAGTGGTTGGATAAGTACAATTGTTGAATTAATTATATTCCGTTTTGGTTTCTCTATTCTTTTTCTCTTTCTTTACGTAAAGGTTTAGACTCTTTAAATAATCATTATTGAATTTAATGAATGGTCAACTAATCAAATCAAATCAAAAGAATATAAGATGTTGGAGTTTTACAGAATTTTCAGCATTCAAAAAATCATGCACTCTCCTTAATTTTGGGCAGGGACATATTAGTCATGTTACTCTCTATAATCCCGCTAAAAAATGAGGCGGTATTTTTTTTTCACTTTGCCGGCAATTATTAGACTTATTGCCACTTATTGAGCCCAATTTCAAAGCCCACTCCTTAGTCCTAATCGTTAAAGAAGATTTGGCTGTTTTGAGGTTTTTGAAAAAATTTAGTAACTAATTTTTTTATTCGTAGTATCTACAAATTAAGTTTTTTTTTTAATCAGCCTCTTTTATTGCTCAAAACGAAACCGATACAACGAGAGAGGGCCTCAAAGACCCCAAAGCCAAAACTACTACCTCTACAATCCCTCCCCACTTATACCCCAAAGTCAAAACTACTTACAGTGAAGAAAAACTAGAACAGAAATATAAGAATCCAAATAACAGACTAGATATAACCCAACCCTTCCAATTCCGCCTTCATCTCCTGGTGACCAGCAACTATGAAATGCACCTCCTCTTTCAGCAGTTCAGCTAGCCGAGTAGAAGGCTTGCAGACTGAACCATGGACCACAGCACACCATTCTTTCCACACAAAAGATAGAAGAAAACACCAAAGCATAGCATGCCAATGCCCCAACTTTGAATCCCTGCTAACTATATTCGTCATACCATTCAACATTTCATCCCAACCACCAAATTGAAATAGGCTAAATCGAAGAGCAGAGGCAACCTGATGTATATATGAGCACTGCACAAACAAGTGCTCTCTCGTTTCTGCAGCCCCCCCACACAATGGACAAGAAGCATCTGTAATCTTCCCCCACTGCAACAACTTGTCTCGAGTAGTAATGGAGTTTCTAGTTATAAGCCAAGCCAAGAAATTATACCTTAGTGGGCAGGGTTTACACCATACTAATTTATACCACGACACTTTTGACTCACGAGCTCGCAGAGTCTCCCAAACCTGGCGCACAGAGTATCTCTTCATCAGCGTTGCCCCCCAGTAGATCTCATCATTGCGTTGATGCAACCAAGTCTGAATCAAGGACCTCAACTTCAACAATCGCCTCCACGCCCAAGAACTACTATATGAAAATTTCATTGTCCATAAATCCCCCTGTTTACATTTATATGCATACATCCAGGCTACCCATAAAGTTCCAGACTTAAGCAAAAACAGCCAGAGCAATCGAACAGTGCAAGCTTGATTCCAACTCACTAAGTCTTTTATTCCCAACCCTCCCTCTTTTTTAGGAAGAGCAATTGATTTCCAAGCTATTTTAGCCCTGCCTTCAGTAATTCCATGCCAGAGGAACTGAGAACAAACCTTCTGGATTCGCTTAAAAACCTGTTTAGGCAACACAAACAGTTGCATCCAGTAATTAACAATACCAAGTAACACAAAGTTGAGTAACTGCAGCCTTCCTGCATATGTTAATTTCTTTGCCGTCCAGGATTTCATCCTCTTTGTGATCTTATCCACTAAAGTATCAATCTCCTTCGAGGATAATTTGCCAGTTATCAATGGCAAACCCAAATACCTAACAGGGAGCTGTCCCTCCTGAAAACCAGAAAGATTCAGTGCATTCCTTTTGTAAATTACTGACTCCCCACCAAAATAAATTTCACACTTTGCTGGATTACTATTCAACCCAGACATCTGATAAAACCGCTGCAATATTGCTTTGACTTGCAAAATAGCCTGAGCAGAACCAACCGTGAAAACCAAGATATCATCCGCAAAACAGATATGATTCAGAGAAACTCTTCTACATTGAGGATGAAAGGGAATAGCCCCTGTTTGCCCTGCCTTCATTAACAAAGATGAAAGCCTTTCCATAGCTATAGTAAAAAGGTTGTTTGCCCTGCCTTCATTAACAAAGATGAAAGCCTTTCCATAGCTATAGTAAAAAGGTAGGGTGACAGTGGATCACCCTGCCTAACCCCCTTTCTTGCTCTAAAGAAACCACAGAGGCTACCATTCACATTTATACTATAATGTGCAGTTTGAAGACAACTTTTTATCCACCTCATAAACTGGTCTGGAAACCCCATTGAATTCATCATAAGGAAAAGATATGACCAATTAACCGAGTCAAATGCTTTCATAATATCAACCTTAATAGCACATCTTGAGGACAAATCTTTCCTATGGTATCCACTAACCAGTTCTTGTGCCAATAGAATATTATCCATTATGTTCCTCCCTTTTATGAATGCAGATTGAGTACCACTTATGACTTTAGGCAACACTTCTTTGATTCTCTTAGCAAGTATTTTAGCAACAATCTTGTACAGTATGTTCACACAAGAAATTGGCCTGAATTTTTTTAAAGTATCAGCGTTTGGTACCTTAGGGAGCAGAGAGACAGCAGTAGAATTCACCCCACTGGGCATAGCACCTGTGTGGAAGAAACTCAGCACCCCTCTTGTTACATCAGCTCCTATAATATGCCAAGTTCTCCTGTAAAAACATGCAGAAAAACCATCTGGTCCAGGGGCCTTTTGTGGACTCATAGCAAACACAGCTTCCTTCACTTCTTCGGGCATAATAGGTCGACTCAAAAACAGGCAATCTGCTTCTGACAACTTATTGTGAATTAGTTGTTCTACCTCTTCCTTCAAAGGCCTGATATCTTGATTGACTGTCCCCAATAACCTTTTGTAGTAGGATATAGCTTCCTCTATTATCTGATCAGATTGTGTTAACTCAACTCCAGCCTCAGTAATTAATTTTCTAATAGCTCTTTTGGAGTTTCTTATCTTCATTGCTTGATGGAAGAATGCAGAACTCATATCCCCTACTATCAACCAAGATACCCTAGACTTCTGCCAACAAAAACTATCATATGCCAAATTAACCTGATCCAATTTCTGTTTACAAACCTTTACTTCTTCAAAATGAATAGCAGTAGGATCAGAGAGAGCCTGCACTTGTGCTCTTTTGAACTCATCTGCAGCCTCCTCAACCTGCTTATGCAATTCCCCATAAACCTCTTTATTGAATTTTTTCAATGCTTTCTTAACCTCTCGTAGCTTGCCCTGCACTATCTGTATTGGTGTACCCTCAACCTCTATTGCCCAGGCAACCTCTACCACTTCTAAAAACAAAGGGTGCTCAGCCAAAAACTCGAAATACTTGAATGGCTTTGGGTAAGAAGTAACTGAAGCTGCAGTACTGACTTGAACCCCACAATGATCAGTGAACCCTGCTGGAAAAACCTCCATTGCACAATCCTTGTAAGTTTCAATCCACTTAATATTGACCAGAGCCCTGTCTAGCTTCTTGACAATAGGATTGTTTTGTTGCCTATTGGTCCAAGTAAACTGTGGCCCTGTCATTCTATAATCCAGCAACTCCATCGCTTCTATCCAGTCATTAAAGTCATTCATACTTTGGTTTATACAGGAGAGGTTTGATGTTTCACCTAGCACTCTTACTGTATTAAAGTCTCCTCCCACAATCCAAGGGAGTCCATCAACCTTTACCCTTGCAATTTCATCATAAGTTGCCTTACGTTCTACTTCATCATTCGCAGCATAGACTGTTGTCAAAAAGAAACTATTACTATCTATATCTTCAACCAAACAATGCACATAATTCTTCCCCGGTTTGAGCACCCTGAGTTTAATAGCAGGATCCCAAAACAGCCACACACGCCCCAGGGCTGAATCAACAAAGTTCAGACACCTCTCCATCCTTGAAATACCTCTTCCACTGCCTTATCAGCTTTCTCTTTTTGAATTCTTGTTTCTAACACAGCTACAACATCGACCTTATTTCTACGCACGACTTGCATCAAGTCCCATTGCTTGGAGGTTTTATTAAACCCCCTCACATTCCAGAACAGGATAATCATTTGGAAGAAGAGGGTTTCCCCCATCCTTCCTAACCTCTTTCTTACCTTCCTTCTTTCTTGGAGCCTCAAGAACCTTTGTTGTATTACTCTCATCCAGCTTACTGAGTACTGTAAATGCTGATGTAGTCTGAAGCTGAGGACTTGATTGAGGAGACCAAACTCGAGGCTTAGCCCCATTCACCACCCTCTGAAATTCATCCTCAGTAGGTAGCTTAGGAGAGTTAGCCACAGCCTGAAAAGATTTCTCCAAGTTAAGAGGAATCGGGCTAGCCACTGTTAAAGCAAG